TTAGAGCCTAGGATTTGGATTTAGACTCAAGACCCAGATTTGCTTAAAATTCTTAAATATTTGACATGAGCTATGAAAATAAATTATTTAAATTTTCTAAGCATCAGTGGTCTTCTACAAAATAGATAAGCACAGTACTTGTATCACAAAGATATGGACAGGGATGAATGACCATATCTTTTATAAAAGCTAAATAAGTTAATAAGTGCATAATAAATGCTAAGTAATGTTCATTATTTTAATTACCATCCTCACTGGTTGAAATTTCCCATCATATTTTAAACTCAATATATAAGTCATAAGGGTAAGAACCTGGCTTTCTTCTTCCCTCCCATATCTCTAGACTCTAACATAAAAAATGCAGGGTAAATTTTTAAAATTAATAACCTGTTACTTTGAGGACTTGTTCAGAAACTTCTTTGGCAGGGACTGCGAAAACTCCCCAACACTATGGAGACATCTGACACACCAAGTCCCGCACAAAGTAGGCTTATGGCTAAACTGAAAAATGATTCCATGTGAAAGTTTTCTTCCTTCTAGAAGCTGCCAGTGTTCAGAATCCTAAACATATAGTACAAAATCAAACGGAAAATATTAAATTGATATAATTGATGAAAGTGAGGGTGATGTACCTTGAGATTCTTACTGAATATAAATTAAAACAGCATTTTTAAGATATAGCAATAAAAACAAGAAAATCCTACTTGCTTAAGAAATGCAATGTTATGATCTAATTATATTTTCATTCAGCTTAAGGCAAACAGTGTGGACAAATCCTGTCCACGAGAGTGAGAAAGATGTGTAGGAAGACTTAAGTGTACAAATCTTTTTTGAATAAAACATTTGCATCTAGTTAAGGAAGCAGAGGCAAAATGTAACTGGAAGAGCGGGCGAAGTCAGATTATGAGAAACTTTGAAAGACAGATGGGGGTTAGGGTTTGATGGAATAAAATAAAAAGCAGAGCGTTATCGTAAATTCTGGTATGGTGGTATTTCATGGTGAAAAACCATTTTCAAAAGTAATAGGGAAGATGGATCAGTGCAAATGCTTGTAATTAAAGACATTAGGAAGGAAGCAGTAAAGCTTTTGCAGAGAACAATTAATGTCCTAGAAATACTACATTTGACCAGCATTCTGAAAATATAGTTCATATATTATCTTACTAATTTATACACTTACACACCATGGACAAGTCACTTCTCCTTGACCGTGCTTACTTATATCTAAATTCAGAGGGTTGGACTCCATTACAGTTCTCCACAACATACTGGTAGTAAGACAGACAATTTCAGATAGAACAGAGAAAAGTTAAAAATTTTAAGTTACATATTCTTTTTACTTCATATTTTTACAATTACCTTCTTTATGTGAAGTTATACTGGTTACACATTAGCAGAATGATATAATTTTTCAAAAGAATCTTGACTTTTGCTTTTAGTCAAGAGAGAATAACAGGGTCTGGAGTTATCATCCTATCATAAAAATTAGAAAATGGAACCAAAGTAATAAACAACAGTTGTCAGACATTGGCAAGCAGGCAACACTGTGATGAAAACAAGTAAGGTGAACCCTATGAAAACCTTAGCTTTCTGCCTACCAGCAGTTTCTAAAGTCTGTACTCAGCAATGCAAAATTCAAAGTCTGGCACCCAATAAAAAAATTTTAAGTATGGAATTGAAGCAGGAAAATATAACCCTTAGTAATGAAGAAAGGCAATCTATAGAATAAATGCACAAATGACAGGGAAAATTAAAATAAACAGAAAGTATGTTAAAACAGGTATTAAAATACGTGTATGATGTTAAGATTTAAAGAAGAACATGAAAGTAAGGAAGAAAGGTACAGAAAATATAAAAAAGACCTAAATGGAATTTCTAGAGATGAAAAATACAGTATCCAAAATTTTAAAAAATGCACCAGCTATAGTTACAGCAGATTAGACAGTGCAAAGGAACAGATTTATGAATGTAAAGCCATAGGAACACAAACTGTCTCAAATAAAGCACACAGAGAAAAATACTGGGGGGAAAACACAGCTTCAGTGACTTGTGAGTCAACTGCAAGTGGTCTAACATATATGTATTGAGACCCAGAAAAAGTATAGCACAGAAGATATCTGAAGAAATCATGGACAAAATTTTTCCAAATTTGATGAAAGCTGTATATGCACAGATCTAAGAAGCTTTTATAATTCCAAGTAAAATACACACAAAACCACAACCAGGTTTACCCAAATCAAATTGCTGGCAATTATTGGCAAAAAGTATATTTAAAAACAAAAAAGGTACATTAAGTACAAAGAAACCTATATGGTATTACATACTTATCAGAAACTATGCATTCCAAAAGTCAACGAACAATTTTAAAGCACTGAAAGAATAGCAACTAATTATGAAGAAGGACAATCTAAAATTCTATTGTCAGAAAAAAAATCTTTCAGAAATGAAGGCAAAATAATAATTCACCAATCAGCCCAGCTAGAAATTCTGGGAGCCTCTCAAACCTTCTAAGGATGTGCACATTCCCCTTTTCTCACTGCCTCCTGGGGGAGTAGTCTCACAGTTGTTTGTCTTCTTTCTTTTAAAGAAATATATTTTTATTGACTTCAGTGAGGAAGGGAGAGAGAGATAGAAACATAAATGGTGAGAAAGAGTCATCGATTAGCTGTCTCCTATTACCTCCCCAAACCCCACACTGGGGATTGAGCGCGCAACCAGGACATGTGCCCTGACCTGGAATTGAACCGTAACCTCCTGGTTCATAAGTCCATACTCAATCATTGAGCCATGCTGGCCAGACTGTTTGTCTTCTTTCAATCATCACTAATCACCAGGGAAATGCTAATCAAAATCACTATAAGATATGACCTCACACCTGTTAGGATGGCTATTATCAAAAAACAAAAGACAAATGTTGTCAAGGATGTGGAAAAATTAGAACCTTTGTACATTGTTGGTGGAGATACAAAATGGTGAAGTTGCTCTGGAAAACAACAGTATGGAGGTTTCTCAAAAAATTAAAAATAGAACTACCATATGATCCAGCGATCCCATTTCTGTGCATATATACAATAGAATTGAGATTAAGATCTTGAAAAGATATATGTACTCTGGGTTCATTCCAACATTACTCACAATAGCCAACGTATGGAAGCAATCTAAATGTTCATTGATAAACAAATGGATAAGAAAAACATGGTATATACATACAATAGTAATTAAGCCTTCAAAAAAGGCATGTTTCCATTTGCAACAACATAGATGAACCTAAAGGACATTATACTAAGTGAAATAAGCCAGTTACAGAAGGACAAATACTTCATAATTCCATGTATATAAAATAGTATATAAAATAGTTAAACTTCTGGATGCAAAGAGTAGAATGGTGGCTGCCAAGGCCTGGGAGAGAGGGGAAAAAAGGGTTATTCAATAGGTATAAAGTTTCAGTTAGGCAAGAAGAAAAGTGCTAGAGATCTTCTGTACAACATAGTACCTATAGGTAACAATAACTTAAAAATACATTAAGAGGGTCAATCTCATGTTAAATGTCCTAACTATAATAAAACATGAAGAAATGAAGGCAAAATAAAATATTTTTGCAGAAAAAAACACTGAGAAAGACCATCACTAGTAGATCTGCAAAATGAGCTATGTTCAAAGTTCCTCAGGCCAAAGGAAATAAGTCAAAGAGAAATAAGGGCAGGGTCTCTCAAGCTTCTAATCAGAGACAAAACAACAATAATCCTATATAATCCTATATAATAAAGAGCTAATATGTAAGTGGTTGTCACACCCTCACACCCTCACACCATCACACCATAATGGCTCAGACACTCAACACTGGGGAGAGAGGAATGGGGACCAGCCAGGCACAAATGAGCTCATGAGAGAGTAATGGGGCCTAGCCAGGCTGCGGCTCGGGAGAGGGACAAAGTTGCCCGCCCCATGGTCCCAGGTGCCAGCGGCTGCACCTGCACCTGCAGCCCAGGAGAGGAACAAGCTGCCCGCCCCACGGTCCCAGGCACCAGCGGCTGGGCTGTGGTCTGGGAGAGGGGCAAGCCACCCCACTCCGTCCCAGGCAGCTGTGGCTGTGGCTGCGGCCCAGGTGAAGCCGCCCGCACATGGTCCCCTCAGGCTGTGGCCAGCTTGGGTGAAGCTGGCTTGGGTCCTGGGTGCCTGCGACTGACCAGAGGGAAGGAAGCCTGGGTTCCAGGTACGGGGCGAGGCAGAGGTGGTTAGGGGCAATCAGGCCAGCAGGGGAGCAGTTAGGGGCGATCAGGCCAGTCAGGCAGAGGTGGTTAGGGGCCATCAGGCAGGCAGAGGTGGTTAGGGGCGATCAGGCAGGCAGGCAGAGAGGTTAGGAGCGATCAGGCAGACAGGCAGGTGAGCAGTTAGGAGCCAGTGGTCCCAGATTGCGAGAAGCAGTCGGACATCCCCCGAGGAGTCCCAGGTTGGAGACGGTGCAGATCGGGCTGAAGTACTCCCCCCCCACACCCCCCTACATGAATTTCGTGCACCAGGTCTCTAGTAACAATGATAATACTTTAGTATTATTACAATAGTAGTAGTTTACTATTGCTGATAACAAATGCCCACAAATGTAGCAGTTCAGAACAATATATGTTTATTACCTCACTGTTTCTGTGGGTCAGTACTCAGGCATGGCATAGCTAGGTCCTCTGCTCAAGGTCTCCCCAGGCTGCAATCCAAGTGTTGACCAGGCTGCTTTCTCAACTTCAGGCTTTCCTGGGAAAGAATGGGCTTCCAAGCTCATTTGAGTTTTAGGCAGAACTCATTCCCTTAGAGCAGCGGTTCTCAACCTGTGGGTCACGACCCCTTTGGGGGTCGAACGACCCTTTCACAGGGGTCGCCTAAGACCATCGGAAAACACATATATAATCACATATTGTTTTTGTGATTAATCACTATGCTTTAATTATGTTCAATTTGTAACAATGAAAATACATCCTGCATATCAGATATTTACATGACGATTCATAACAGTAGCAAAATTACAGTTATGAAGTAGCAATGAAAATAATTTTATGGTTGGGGGTCACCACAACATGAGGAACTGTATTAAGGGGTCACGGCATTAGGAAGGTTGAGAACCACTGCCTTAGGGTCTTATGACTGAGTGTCCTGATTCTTTGCAAGTTATTAGCTGGCGATCACCTGCAGATCCTAGAAGCCAGACACAATGCCTTTCTATGTGGGTTTCCTCGACATAGCTGCTTACTTCATCAGGCCAACAGGGAGAATTTCTTGCTCCAGTCTGCTAAGATGGTTTCTTACAGAATATAAAGTAATCAGAGAATGACATCCCAGCACCTTTGCCATAAACATAATCTAATTAAGGGTTGCCATCCCATCACCTTTGCTAATTCTAGGAGCAAGTCTCAGGTGCCTCCCTAACTCAAGGAAGGTGAGCCACACAAATGCATGGACATGAGGAGGTCAAAATCATTGGAGGGGTCACCTTTGGGTCTGTGTGCCACATTATTATCATGGAAACTTGGTGCTTAGAAAAAGGTAAGTGTGTTTAATTTTAGCAATAGTCCTCCATCATTCTAATTAGGTCTTGGTAAATTTCCTGGGTCACATCCTGTCCAAGGTAAAAATCCACATGATTGTAGTGTGGAATACATTTGTAATAAATAAGTCTGGTGATGTTCGGCAGTAAACTTTCAATGTCCCTGGGATCAGCCACAATGTCATGTCCACCACTCCACATTGCTGTTGGCACTTCCATCTTAGTAACGTTGTATAAGGGAGGTGTAAACTAAATACAGGTAAAGAGAGGGAGAGAAAAAAGAAGAGTGTTCACGAAAAATCACATTAGAGAAGTAACAAAATCAGTTTTTAAGCATCTACTTTAAATGTTAAAAATGTGCAGTTAGGATACACTTAGTGATATATAAACATTAAACTGTGAAATTTACTTGAAAACACTTTAGTACCAAAATATGAATTGTAAATTTTAAAAGACCACCATTATATTTTTGATTTGATTTTTGGGGAAAGAGAAAAGGATCCTAGAGAAAAGGGACACATTTCTTTGGTGGGGCCATCTTTCTAGTAGCACTTGGACTGGGAATGTGTCCTTTTCAAACAAAATTTTGGATGGGACAAAATAGGACAAATATCAGTACCCCTCCACATATGCAGAAGTCTGGGCCCAGGGAATTATTGACATTTGAGCAGCCTCTTCAGGGAGCGTTGAGACCCGTACATAAAAACACACATTTGAAATACAATGTTAAAAAGCCAGCCTGTTACAGAAAAATCGGGCCTGGCAAGTTTTTCCTGCCCTCTTCTTTCTGGTAACACCACTCATGCTGATTTGACAAATTCCACTCCCCCAGTTCCAGGGTAGTCCAGGGGACCAGGCCTGACCAATTTGTTCTTCATTCTTCTGGCCACAGCGATTATATGAGATGACTAAAACAGGGCCTGAGTTCTCTCTGGAACTTTTTGCCAGAGCTATTAAGAAAAACATTGCCTTTTCCTTTGGGTTTGCAGTTGGAAGAACTGTGTGAGCTAGATACATCAGTCACCATCCTACTACTACTATCTTGGAAAGAACTTAAAAATGGAAACAGCATATGAAGGCAGAATTGAGAGAGAAAAAGCAAGAGAGAGCGAACCCCAATGCCAGTATTTAAGTTCCTGGCTATTGTGAGTTTACCATTGTACATTTTAGCTCAGTAAAGCAGTATAATAGAGTTTGTTTCTGCTACTTGCAACTGGAAGTCTTACCTTTTACCATTTGCTACGGACTAACTTGTTTTCCCTCTAAATTCACATGTTAAAACCCTACCCCAAATATGATTGTATTTGGAGAGAAGGCTTTTAGGAGGTGATTAGGTTAAATCCAGTAGGATTGATGGCCTTATAAGGAGGGTAGACAGAGGTCTCTTTCTCTCTCCAAGAGCACACACCGAGGAAAGACCATGTGAGCACATAGCAAGGAGGAGGCGCTCGGCAAGCCAAAGGGAGCCCTCCCCAGAACCCGACTAGGCCGCTGCCCTGTTCTCAGACTTCCGACTTTCAGAACTGTGACAAATACATTTCTGTTGTTTAAGCCACTCAGTTATGGTATTTTTTTTAAATCTCAGCCTGAGCAGATGAATATACAATAGTTAATTTTGGCAGCAAACAGTTTACCCTCAGTTTGTTTGGGTTTTTCTTATTTTCTCCAAAAGTCCTACACAAACTTTTCATAGCGAAACCTGAATCACCATTTTAAAAAATAGAATCTGTAAGCTTAATGATAAAGCTAATATCTGTGAGTCAGATCTTATCCAAATAGGTATCTGAGCCTCACATGGTGAGGCCATCATCTAACAGCTTTTTCTGGGGCAGCCATATACTCTTGCTAAAGCAGGGAATCGGTTAATTACAAGAGTAAATGGTACATCGCCATAGCATGTTTGTGTGTTTGGGCACACCCACTTACACACATATGACCATAGCAGTTTAGAGGAAAATCGGATTTTTCACACCAATCAAGTTACGCATTTTTACTGTTGTAGTTAATATGGTGGCACTTTAAATTTGCTATTCAAAAAGTTTCCAAATTTCCTCAGCCCTGATTTGTAAAACCCTTGTATCTTTTTAAAACAAATTTTATTATTATGTTTAGAGAGAGAGAGACAGAGAGGAGGGAGAGAGGGAGAGAGAGTACATTGATCTGCTGC